GGTCTAGTGGGGTGGAGAGGTGAGCGGGCTGACAGCCAGGACTCCTGGGGTCTGTCTCTGACTCTGGGAAGGAGTGGGGGCGAGTGGGGTGGAGAGGTGAGCGGGCTGACAGCCAGGACTCCTGGGGTCTGTCTCTGACTCTGGGAAGGAGTGGGGTCTAGTGGAGTGGAGAGGTGAGCGGGCTGACAGCCAGGACTCCTGGGGTCTGTCTCTGACTCTGGGAAGGAGTGGGGTCTAGTGGAGTGGAGAGGGGAGCGGGCTGACAGCCAGGACTCCCGGGTTTTACGCCAAGCTCTGTAGAGCCCCTTCGCAGGTTGGAGTCCCACCATTTTTTGGGTTTAGGATTCTCAGTTCTCTATATCCTGACTTGCCTTTCTCTCTGACAGAGCTCCCCCAAGCCCCTTCTGTGTTCCCTTTGTTCCCCTGTTGTGATGACATTGCCGGGAGCCCCTCTTGTGAGGTGACCGTAGCCTGCCTGGTGACCGGCTATTTCCCGGAGCCCGTGAATGTCAAGTGGAATTCCGGCAGAGTGACCAACGGGATCAAGACCTTCCCAGCCATGGCACAGAGCAGTGGCAGGGCCTTCACCCTCGTCAGCCAGCTCACCGTCCCTGCCTCGGACCTGGCGCACCACACCTACCAGTGCAGTGTGGAGCACACTCCCTCCCGTAAAAAGATAGATGTGGAGATCACGAACGGTGAGCTACTTTGGGATGCCAGAGAATGATGAAAGGACTGAGGCAGAAGGGTGCAATAAAGTGTCAGAGGGAGTGGGGGAGATGGAATGATAGAGTCCATGGAAGGGACGATAGAGAAGAAAAGGGATGGATGTATGGATGGACAGAGATGAGGGAAAGATGGAGGAAGTGAAAGAGAGAGGGATGGATGGTACGGAGCATGGGCTAGGTGGGTGGACAAATGGAGATACAGAAGGAGGGATGGATACAAGGAGGGATGGCTGGAGAGATGACATGGACAGAGTGATAGATAGATGGAATGGTGCAGAGGGAAGGAAGGAGGGAAAGGTAAAACTTTCCTCTCTCCGTTGTCATTAAGGACTTCAGCACATTGTGCTCAGAGCTGTACAAATGCAATTGATTCATGATTCTGACCTGGTATCCATTTTCTCTCTCTGCTGCCAGTATGTGAGGCTCTTATTCATCCTGAAGTTCGCCTCCTGGGCCCCTCCTGTGAGCGCAACGCCATGGAGAAGCAGATGGAGGTGGTTTGCCTCCTCCTAAGATTCAGCCCCCATGCAGCCAAAGTGGAATGGCTGGTGAACGGCGAGAAGAGGAACCTTCCCACAGACTTCTCCGTTGGGAAGGGCACAGATGGCACCTACATGGGCCAAAGCCGAGTGAACATCACCAAGGAGAGCTGGGAGCAGGGGGATGTTTACACCTGTCAAGTGACCCACCCAGCGAGGGGACTGGAGCGCTCCATGCACAACACCAGCAAGTGCTTGGGTGAGGGGCTACATCCGTGCACAGTGGGGTGGGATAAAGGGTTACCCAGAAACCAGCCTCACCTAAGGGTAGGTGGGACTGTGCCCAGATCCCAGGGTGATGGGTGACATAGAAATACAATAGAGAGATGAATACTGGGAGTGGGTGGGGAGAGGGATGGATGGATGCAGTGATAGATATGGTGGTTGGATGGATAGAGAGATACTGTGGATAGAATGACTGTGGATAGAAGGATGAATGACTGGAAGGAAAGATGGATATGATGACTGGATAGAAAGATAGGTATGATGGATGGATGGAGTGAGAAAGGGGATGTGGATACCTGAATAATTATTAATAAAGAGATGGAGCCATAGATGTTGCACGGGAAAGTGTAGATAGAGAGGCAGGAAGTGCTACAGGATTGTTAGATAGCTAGAAAGAGGCTTTTTTCCACTGGTTTCTATCTTTCTTCCTTCTAACATCCCATGAAATTAAGGGATCACAAAATTAGGGGAATGAAAGTATCTCTCTAATCTTCTGTAACGCCCATCACTGTAGTGTCCTTCATGGCCCAGGGAATTCATGGAATCTTTTGCTCTTCTTTCCCTATTGAAATGAGTCCTTTGTATTTCTCAGCCTGCCTCAGTAACTCAGTGGCTCCATCCGTCTATGTCACTGAACCGTCCTACGATGACCTGATTGGGAAGACAGCCCGTGTGACGTGCCTGGTGCTGGGCTATAGCTTGGTAGATGTTCGGGTGGTTTGGGAAGTGGATGGGAAAGCCAGCTCTGATGCGGAGACAGGAAACCCGGAACAAGCCAATGGAACCCAGAGCGTCACTAGCACCCACAAAATAACCTTAGAGCAATGGAAGAGCAGGACCAAGTTCACTTGCAAAGTGAGACTTCCTTGTTTTGCAGAAGTCACCCAGGATATGCCACTCATGGACACAAGTGAGTACGTCTGCATTTAAGTC